AATTTACCCTGTAATTCACTGTTGGGGAACTAGTAATAAATGTTACGGTAAAATTTTTATTGAAAAAAGTCGTAAAATATCGTAATATTTCATGAGCTTTGTTAACACTCGACATATTTTTCTTCGACGAGCAAGAATTGGCTATCGCTAATTTACGACTGCGATCAAAATTTTACACCACTGTTTGTAAAATGTATATTACGAAAAATATCGTAAATTTACAGAGATTGTGTTCAGTGTTTTTCGAACTCACATCGTTCAAAACATAAAACATTCCCTTTAACTTACATTTTGAAGTTTTGACGTCACTTCAATCGCTTTTACACTGTTTCGTTGTCGTGTCGACGTCGATTCAACTTTTTTACATCCTTTCGATGACGTTTTGGCCGTGTTACAGTGCGGCGCAGCGACCTGCAGCGAGTGCGCCGAGGGCGACGCGGCGTGCAGGGCCATGTGCCAGAGGCGGTGCGAGTGCGGCTGCGGCGGCCGAGGCGGCGGCCTGCCCACGGGCGCGCCGCTGGACCAGGTCCTGTTCGACGAGTGCCGCAGGCAGAGGGGGTGTGGCAGTAAGAAGTACCTGGCGTGCGGGGTAAAGTGCCGCACGCAGGAGTGCGTCGACGAGTGCTGGCTCAGCTTGAGGGAGTGCGAGTGTGAGTGCGTACGAGAGGCCAGCGCCCAGCTCGGCAACAACACCTCGCCGGGCAGACAAAGGTGCGACTTAACACAACACGTCTACCGCGTGTCAAGCGGTGTCAAGTCTAATGCTCCACAGTGCAGCGAGTTTGCCTCCCCTGTAGGAGGGGCCTTGGCACCTTAGGGGGCGTCCACATACTACGTCACGCGATTTAGGCCACTGTTTGACCCCCCCTCCCCCATGTCACTCACCATCACAAAATCTGCCCCCCCCCCTTGTGATGTCACATTTTCGACATTTATCGCAAAAACATACAAAATTTTATATAAATCGCGAAGGCTTGATATAGGTACTAAAATGATTGTTCCGTTCAAAAGTTATAAAAACGTCAATTCTTTTGCAGAGCTCTACCAAAAATGTTTCCTGCGCACCAATTTTGTTCCGACAAAGTTGTGTGTAAGTAATTCCTTATCAGAAAGGAAAGAGCTGTAATGGTGACAGAACACATTTTTAAATTTCTGTTTTATTTTATTTTTTGATTTAGACATTGTTTAACTATATTTTAAAACATTAAGAATGGTCCTAATTCAGTCATTATTGTCTAAAATAAATTATAAGGGGAAGGAATTAAAAGTTTTGATCTGTCAGAACTCATGTTGCGGGGAACACAAAGACCAAATTTATTATGTTGTCTGGCACGTAACTCTAAACCCAGTGCGCAGGAAGTTTTTAGAGCGTTTACTAAAAAGATCCGAATAGAGAGTTTGAATGTTGATAACAACACCACCATTGTGATGATTTTAATGTGAAGTTGGATGAAAAAGTGTTCCTTTGACCAAGAAGTGTTAGCATACATAATTGTGAATGGGTTGCAAGTATGAGTCAGTTACTGTACTAAATGCCTTAAGGGTTATTATTATCTAAAATGACCAACTTTTCACTGTAGCCTTCCCTTAAGGTGACATCTCTGCATTACAAAGGTATCATTTTCCATCAGGTGCATATACGTATATTCTCGATTGTAAGAAACGCCTTGCCCGCCGCCAGCGTGTGCATTGCATCCTCCTCGCTCACTCAGACGCTGTACGGTAAATAGACCATTCCACCGAATCGGGAAGTAGTAAGAAAAGAATCAGAAGGATCGGAAACAGTTTCATAAAACAGTGTGTAGATCATTTTTGTACACCGCTGACGCACACTGACAAGTCTAGAATAATTGTCTTGGTCAAGAAAACTAGAAAAAGTGAACGATTTGATTTGTTTATCAATACTGTTTTCAGCGCCTTTCGATTCCTTTCTTTCTTCTTCCACAGTCAGCGGAATAGTCTATTGACTTGATTAAAGCTGCTAAAAACGGATTTTCTTTACTCAAAAAATGTGACGTAACGGTGTTCCAGATCCCCCTCAAAGTGGGCTAGAATCCAAAACAAGCAGGCCCGCCCTTCCGCCAAACGAAGTTGCCAGCTTCGCTTCGCTGCGCCGGCAACTCCGTTCGGCAGGGGC